GGAGAAATTGGTTGAGTTGGGTTGATCCATGGATTGAAAAAAAAGGAATTTTCGGCATCTCTGTCATCTTCGTATTCATACAAAATTAAATAACAACGTTCAATAAATAGTTGATCGAAATTTTGTTGACAATTGATCTTTATATCATTCTTACAAGAGTTTGTTTGAATAATATTTTTCTTCTTATCAGATTCTTTCATCTATTCAGAGTTTTACATTTCCTATATAAGAAATTTTTCATGATTATATCTTATTTTGACAAGAGTACTAGAACTAATTATTCAGCTCATTATTGACATGTCAATGATTTCTTTTCATCTCCTAGGGCGAACAAGCATGATTTTATACAGTGAAATACCGAGTATATACGGTCGTCTACGACTGTATACGGATTTCGTATACTTCATCATGGACTCTTATGCCATCTGAGAATAATGAAAGTTAAAGTCGACACAGTATACAATGTATTAAACTATGCATAATACATGGTTGATTTTACTCATCAGGATGATTAGTTGCTCCTATTCATCTTTAGACAGTGAATCTTCTCTTCTATAGAAGGTATTCATCAATGATGTAGATTATCACTTTTTTGTATCTTTCGTTTGGGTTTTAAAATTTTCTCTTTTCTTTTCTTGTTGATATATAACTAATAGATTGTATTGTAGACAAGATAAATGTATTAAGTTATTCAATGTATTTATTTTTTTTTGTTTGAAAGAGCGCGCGTCAAAACGCAGTGCAGTACAGAGCGCTTTTTTATTATACTGTATATATAGATACTTATATAACTCGTTACCCATTTTTTAAGAGTTCTTTTTTTTGGGTCATTGAACTTTCGATCCCTTTTTTTTCCGAAAAAAAAGTAAGTATTTAAAAAAAAGGGCTCTTTACTGTACTGCATCCTGACATGCTCTTGCAAATAAAAAAAATTTAAATATATTACACGGACCTTGACTGAGAAATTTGGTTTGCCAAATGAGCAATTTTTTACACTTGTTTGGTTAGTATCTCACTCAAACATCATGATACAAGGCTGAAAATTTTACCGTAGCTTTTCCACAACAGCTTCAAGATATCCTGAAAATTTCATGCCATTTGCACGTATCTAGGCTGAGATCGATTTTTGAGGGGAAAGAGGCCTGAAAATTCAGAAAGCATCAATAAATTTGTTTCTTCTCTAGTCAAGTCGATTACATTTGTAAAAAAAAAAGAGAAACAAAAGAAATGAGAAAAAAAAGGATACTGTACATCATTGACTAACAAATTTAATGCAAGAGAATAGAAAGGAGAGAATTCGTTCTTAGCTATTTATCTGTGCACATCAGATATTTTGTTTTCTTCTATGGGATACGGAATAAGCAAACTAAGAGTAAAACTCATTGGTTTAAATAGTTGGATGTCACAAAAAGTAATAACGAGAAAACGTATATATGAATATCGGTCGTTGACACTAGTTATTTTCAGCAGAGAAGAGATATAATTTGCACACACACACACAACACTGCATGAGGATGAGGATACAGTGCCTAATCTAAACTGTAATACCTAATCGTTTCGTTTTTTTCTGTCATGTATTCTGTGTTTGTATGGTAGAATTACTAATCTATTCTTGTTCTTCAATAATATCTGGATTTGGTCTCGCTACCATCGCTATAAATAATATACTTATCTTATCATAAGTTATCATTCAGTATATATTTTATTCTTCTTCCTTATATCATTGACGTAGCATTGGACGGTTAGTTTTTTGTGCATAGTCAATTGGTAATACAAGAAAATGATTTCTAAGTACAATATTTCGATTGTATCAATCGTTCTCATGGCAATATTATGCTGCTGGGCGACGACAAATGTCGATGAACAATCGATTAATGACAAGAAAAATATTTCAATGATGACAAACAATAAAGATAATCATGTTAAGAACTTCAATCAACAGTATATAGAAAGATTTAAAAAAAAAATATATATTTTTCTTATCATTTTTATTTTTTTATAAATAGAACTGGAAAATACTTTAATTATCTTCGTCTTCCAGATGGTGAATGCCATAATTGTTCAACATATAAATGTACCAATCATAAGTTAAATATGGGTGGTTCGGAATGGTGTATCATGTTATTTCCTGATGCTCTTGTTCATTGTGATTCTGATCCAAATTGTGGTGGATATACAATGACAACAGCTGAATGGTTTCATACAAAATATGATAAAAATGGACAAGTAGCCGTTCATTTGGCTAAATCTGGACAAAAATCTTTTGCTTGTTCATTATCCGAATGGAGCAGTTATGAAAAACAAAATACTATTCGTGATGTTCCTGTAATCTATGGAAGATCAACATGTGGAAATGAGTCAGTAAACTTAACTATATAGATTTGTAATTGATCTTAAGTATATATATTTTTTCTTTATTAATAGAAATCAAGATACATGTGAAAAGTCACAGAATTTTAACTATGTATTTGTTAGCAATTCAAATGCGGTCGAAAGTATTTCACCATATTTGTGTTACAATCATCCAAATCGATTTGATAATAAGGATCTCAAGTGCATTCTACCAATTGTCGATGGTATGACACTTTGCAATTCAGATAGTCAATGTGAAGGATTTATGATCAATACAGATGACTATTGGCAAAAGAAGTTTTTCAATAATGGAATGCAAGCAGTACAATTGTTTGGAAAAGATGTTACATATATGCCAAGTGAAACATGGCGTAGTTTCAAAAAACAATATTAATTATTTTGCATTGTTTTTTTAATTTGTTTTTCTATTTAGATACATTGTGATGCTTTCTTATTTAATACAATGTGTATAGACAAGCATGAATATTATTTACTCAATGATATTATCTCAGATAGTATTAACGACTTGTATAAATTTTTTTATGAAGAAAAAAAAACAAAATAGCTAAAGAGAAAGAAAAATATGAAGTATATACTATATATGGTTCAAGAAGAATAAAGTCGATCGTCTAATGCATAACAATCAGTATTGACCTATTGTCATACAGCTTAAGAGATATATTATTCTTGGTGAATTGTTTTTTTCAACTCAATTCAAAGTCATATCGAATAATAAATACATGATTTCTTAAATTGTGTAAGTGTTATTGCATGCATTGATTGCAATATTGAGATAAGTTTGTTTTTCATTGTTTGTCTAGAAAATGTTCATTTTGAAAAGAATATCAATTTTAATATTATTCTACACTAATTCTAAGTCAACTGCGAGAATCAAATAAACAAATAAAAAATGAGTTTATTACAGATAATTTGTTTTATATCAACTAAACTTATATTGAAAAGTTTATAAGTAAAATGTTATATTTTAAGGTTTTATATGAACATACTCTTGAAATATGATTAACAACAAATCTTCAATAGTTAATATCAGCAGAAGAATTTGAAATTGAACAATAATGATATTTATATTTAATATGAAAATGTGGTATGTTTTTCAACGTTTCTATATATATATATATTCAATTTATTGTTTTTTTTATATGAAAATTAGTAGTATTATGACAAAATTTAAAATAATATATTGATGATAATCATTGAAGATTTTGTTATTGATCATGTCTAATCATAACAATCAAATATATTATCAAAAAGTTATATTTATTTGGAAATTTTCAATAAATATTCCTTTGTTGTGATAAAATAATTGATTCTTTTAAATAAATTTTCATCGAATAATTAATTATTGAAATTGACAAGCATTTTTCTGATATTTAGGATATCGATCGATAAACAGAGTTCAAATAAGACATTAATCAATGATCGATTTCTTATGAGATTAAACTAATAACAACAGAAAGTGTTTTTTTTATTTATGACAAAGGAAGGTAAAGTGATTTCTTTGATTTTTCTGATTTTTTTTTTTGGATATCTATCACTGTGAATCAATTTTAATCTATTCATTGTCAATCAATAGAAATCAAGTCTCTACTCTTTGTTTTATCACTGGGGATTTGCTATGATTTCTGATGCTTTCCGATGGTTTCAAATAATTTTTAACCACTTCTAGTCATTATTCATATCCTTAAGTCGTTAAAGTGATTTTTCGTGATTTCTAATGATTCCTACAATAGAAATCAATTAGAGTTCCTCTTAATTTATGATTTAAACTTTTGAGTGATCAAGTCAAATTTAATAGTAACAGACGAAAAATAGAGGTGAATATAAATAGAATAGGGTTTAGTTGTGAATGCCTACTCCCATGAATGAACATCCATACCCATTAATCATCCAGATTTGGCAATGACTTAACATGAAATCAAACATTATGAAGCAGCAATCGAAGTTCTTAACAACGAACAAGAATCTTTACTACATGATGATTCACATATACTAATGACATATGAAAATCTTGCAATCAATTATGATAAAATAGCTACAGGTTACTATTCGAATGAAAATTATCAACAAACAATAAATACATTAGAAAAAAAGCCTACAAATTCAGTTACAACACATATCCAATGATGATAAATTAATTCTATTAATAAACAATAATATTGAAGGAATGGAAGCAGAAATCGAAGAAAATAAAACGAAGCACAGGACGGAATGGTCCTGTTGTCCTGTCCTGGTGCTCGCTAGGATAGACTAAGGCAGTAAGACAAGACAGAAAAATTTCTCCCATGTACATCTCTGAAAGAAGAGACGGAATTAGTTTAATTATAACTCATCTCTTTTATATTGACGACAAAAAATAAACTGTATACAAAAAAAAAAGTCAAAAAGATTGTCTATTTTTTCTTTCTCTTCGTATGAAACGGACGAGGATAGAATTTCAACTAATTAATAATAATCAGCGAAAAGATATATATATATACTTGATAATATTGTACAGGATCGAAGAAGTTTTCCGTAATTCATTACAGAAGTTAAAAAAGATATTGATGTTTTAAGATTGGAGAGCTGTGAGCTCACATTTTTAAACAATTAAAATTTTCATTATATTCATGTACTTTATGTTTAATATTATACCGATTAATTAATAGCAGCTGTAAAACCACAAAAGTTTCTAATTTCATGATTAAAGTTTATTAATATTCGATATATTGAAATATACATAATGGAAAAACAGATCGATATATAGTCCTACGATACAAATCAATTTATTAGTCAGAAATTTTTCTTTTTAGCAATCGATTTTGAGGTTGTGAGTCTGAACAAAAGCTACTACAACACATTTCGATCTTACTGTTAACAATGGAAGTTGAATTGCCCATCATGAGATGCATTGATTACTTTACTTAATTGTATATGTATTAGGTTTTTGATTTACTTATCAATAATCTAATAATATAGATATGATTGAAGAGACGATCCATAATCACACAGTCATATCCATACCAAGCTTACCTGATAAAAAAGTTGAAAATCGGATAAAAGTCGGAAAGTTTTTTTTTGTGTATATATGCTTAGTTTGGTTTTCTATCATCACACTATTCTTTATTTTGTTTCAGTTCATTGATAATCTCTGTACCGGATGTCTTGACATAATGTAAAAATTTCATAATACTTTCCTAAGGAAAAATGCTTCTACAACTCGAAAGTGTGTTTTCAAATCTGCATGAAGTGATCTGTTCGAATCTTCCTTCAAATATTGTTTAGTATTTCTGGTTTGATAACAATAGATTTGTTTTTTAGATAGCACTGAGAAAGGCATTTTTACAAGAAAAATAAACAATTTTTAGAGAGTAACATTTAACTACGATGAATTCAAGATAAAATAAGACGTGAGTCTTTGTATGGTTATTCTTATCTCTCAGTACCCACTCATCTCTTACACCCACACCCTAATAGATTTTGAAAAAAAAAAAGGAATTTAACTGAAGAATAGACTGGAGCATTTATCCTTGTGAACATAAGACAGTTTGCTTTACATATCTCTCTGTGTAGTATATGAGAAAACGTTTTTCTGAGCAGGACACACAAAATACTAAATTAAACTTCCGCAATTGCTGAAAGAAACAGTAAAAACGAATTAAATTTAACAAAAAAAAAATACAATAAGAACTTGGCTTCAACTGAAGATGATGAAAATACGTCGAGGAGAATTCAGTATTGATCTCATCGGAGATATTGCTGCAGTGATGAACCTTTTGTGTTTTCACACTGTCTAGAAAACTTTCCTTTATCTAACATTACGTTCACTAAAGAGAATTTTAGTTGTGAACTACAAAATGGATTCTTTCGGATTGTTAAATGATTCATCGGTGCTATGAATTGATGAACAAAAAACTAGATTTACTTGATTTGAACAGCATCTTTTCTGTTTTTATTTCAAATAATCAAAATAGAAAAAAAAATTCTTTTCATTATGAATAATTTTCTTATTTCTCAGTTTGTTTTTATTTTATTATTTCTTTTTGCAACACTATTTCTCTTTGACTTTGTTAGTTTCAAATCAGTTCACCATCTCTAACTGTACTTATGTTCGATTCATATGAAGCTACAATACATGTCCACATTTGATTAATATAGTATTGGAGTACTCGAAAAAAATGTTTAATTATTCTTAAAAAAACACAATAATTCAATTTTCTTTTTTTATTCGTTAATTAATTATAAAAGAATAAGAACAATTATATAAACAAAAATATATTAATATGTTCATATTTAATTGATTTGAGAATTGAATATATATTCATATTATTATTGTGTCATGTTTTATGTCCCAATGAAATTATTTTATTGTTCAATACCATTTAATCTATTAGACATTCGTATTTTGAATTTTTTTCTTTGATAATTCCGATTGATTTGTTTGATAATTCGATTTTCCAGACTTCTTCACATTAGCAATTCGAAAACTTTCTAGAATATTAAAAAAAAAAACTCAAATATATTATGCTCAAAATATTAAATCAATAGGCTTTTTTCAATTCATACTGCAAATATGATACTATATATTTTTTCGAACTACACAAAAAGAAAAATAAAGATTTTCTTTTCTGCATTAACCAGTTACAGAGCGTACATCGGCCACTTCAAGCATAACGAAACATATGCAGCTTTTATATGAATTTGGTTTGTTACGAGGATAATTTTTGTTGAATAAGTTCTTTTATCTAACTATTAATTAATAACTAATTTTGAGACTTAAACAATTGTTTTTGTTTGTAAATTCGTACTTCGTCATGTCATTAACACGAAAAATAAATCGTTTTTTCTTAAAAAATCTAGGAATACTCAGAAAAAAACTTTGAATTAAGATTTTATAGCTTCAGTAGCTATCTACAGAATGTACAATGTAATTTCTAAAAATACGATCTCAATTAGGAGACTTTTCGAACTAAAATGTTTTATGTGAACGTCGATATCTTTATCTTGTTACTTGACTAACGTTTAGATTTTTTACTGATAACTTCTTTGAACATCGATCTTTAAAGTAACTTAACATATATATTACATATAAAAACAACTTTAAGAAAGTTAATTTTCAAATACAAATTCAATGTGTCTCTAAAAGACTTTAGACGAATTGAAAATGAAACTTGAATATAACAGTAGATATTTCGAGTAGAATACATCATATATGAAGGTTTTTGTATATCTTACGTAAACGACTATAGATGAATATCGTATTGTTATCTTACCAAGAAATTCATTTATATCAATTCTTCCATTTTTATCTAAATCCATAGCAGAACTAAGCTCTTCAATATATGCTTCATCTATATCACCTGTACCATTTTCATCATAAAGTAAAAGTTTGAGTAT